ATTAACAATGGGTAGTTTTAAAAGCAATTGAAGTCTTGTATTATGTTAAATTCAATTCCTTATAAAGTATTACATAAATTTTATATTATATAATACTTTAAGGAATTGAATTTATTTTAGTAATTATTATAATTATTAATATATTTTTATAATTACTGATACGTAATGTAAATTGTATATAATGTGTATTGGCGAGAATTAAAAAAAAATTTACAAAATATAAAAAATAAATTAAATTAAAAAGGACAAAAAAATCAAGCAATAAAATAAACTACTTACAAATAAAAATTATGAATTCTTAAATATATAACAAACAAAATATAAATTCTCATATTCACTCTAAAAATTGTACGATAATAAATTGATATATTAAAAGATTGAGTATGATATCAATTAAAACTATAAAATTTAATACGAAAGAAATTAATAATAATAAAAAAAACACAAATAAAATCATGAAAATCATGTAAACAAGTTCCCATGTAAGTTTATTTGAAGGTTTAAAATTATGGAAAATAATCTGACTTGTCATTTCAGTTCGTCGGTAATCCATTTCATTTCTTTATCTCAAAACTTTCAATACTAAAATGTTATTATTCTATTAGTGGATAGATATCAATGAATGGTGAAAAAAATACGATGAACACTCTTAGTTATTTAATGAAACAATTACAAACTTTCAGGGACTGAACCATTAAAGGAATTGTTCTGTATCCCACAAACAACAGTAAGTGACCATTGATATCGTATATTTTTAAGGAAATTTTCAAAAAATTCTCCAATTACTTTTATAGATTTTAAGTTGCAATGAATTTCAATGTATTCAATAGCTCAATTGAAATTTAATACCCGAAATCATCAAACTTCAAATTCCTGTTCTTTTTAATTTCAACTTATGAATTTCAATAATTGAAATAGCTTGCCTTACTTGTGATTTAACTTCAGCTGTGTAACCATAAGTTTATTCTTTTACGAATTATTTGTTATGTGTTAAAATAATATGAAAATACATAGGTGTATGTTTTACAGTTTGAGATGAATGGAATTTATGAAATTTCTTTTTATACAGAATGCGCATATATAATTATTTCACCCTGTAATGCGTCGATTTTAAATGGTGCCTTCGGATCGGTGCAGTCAGCTGTCACCTAAATCATAAATTTTATGATCAACTGTATGAAATAATATTGTAAATCTTTTTGTTGTTAGTGTAATAAAGTCATTTATAAAACTTTCTTCAATTGCTCAAATTTCCAACATTATCTTTTCTTGGGACTTTTTTTAGGAATCGTTTGAAACTTCAACGCTCTCAAATTTACTTGAAAAAATTTTCAAGAAGAGCAAAATTCAAAGAGTTCAAAGAAATGAAATGAAATGTTCAAAAGTTGTACAGCATTATTCTTTCTAAAAAAAGCTTATCAGTATTGCATAAGTAAACACATTCATAAATCATTGAAAGAAAATATAAGCACGAATAAAATGTGTAATATAAGAAAATGAATATTTCACATTATGAATAAATAAACGATAAACAAATAAACAATATATTATTAATTAAAAAACAAATGATAAGAAAAAGAAAATGAACCCAATGAATATTTACACAATTATTCATGAAAACTAGATAAATAAGCAATATATTAATATTTAATAAGAAAAATAAATAAATAAGAAAACAAAAACAAAATAACCTCAGCATATTGTACAATGAAAATATCCTCTCTTACATCACCAGGTAATTTTTGTACAACAATTGGATATAAACTTTGTGGTTCAATGAAACCATAAATAGGCTTAAAACGATATTCTTTATTATTGGTAGATTTAATTTTAAATGCTAAACGTGCTATACTTGTATTAACAAGTTTATGTACGCAAGTACCACCAGAAGCACGAATTTGTACGGCACGTGGTTGAACCGTTAACATTTTTTTGTAATTAATAAATTTTTCAATTCGTACTCCGTTTTTTCCTTTTATTTTCAATTTGCATAATTTTATTATTGCCAGAAAAAAATGGATCGAAATTTTCGACCAGAAATTTTGCATAAAATATGTCAAAAAATTTGAAAAAATGATTTCGACGATTTTCATATTTCCATTTTCTAATCGTAAATTTTTACATTATCAATTTAGAATTTAATCTTATCTTACTATAACAGTTTTGGTTTATTATAATATTCTTATTATTTTTGTGATAATGATCTTATCTCTCATTATCTTATCATAATAGTCTTCCGACAATAATCTCATTGTCTTATTATAATAAACTATACTCTCTTCTTTTTTCTTTTCAACTTGTTCAATAGAATATAACGATCTTGGCCACTTAATTTCTTCTATATTTCACTTCTGATATAGCTATAATAATTATTTTAAATATAAAAAAAACTTCACACTCAAGTTTTTTCTTTTTTTCTTAGATAAAAATTATATAATACGATCATATTATTTATATGATTGATTCTTCATTGATTCATTTCATCATTTATTATGATTATTATGATCATTAATTGTAATTATTCATACTCATTGTAATGATTCATTATATGACTGGTTCATTCTTCTTCTAATTACTGTCAACTAGTCAATGTTGGAATCCCTTCGATGAGTATTTCCTTATCAAAATTCTCCCTCATAGTTACTGTTCCGCTATCCTATGATGAGTTAACCGTAGTGAATCTATACCTAATTTTCACTCAGAGTGAAAATACGTCAAAAGTCGCAAATGTTTCGCTTCGAAAGCGATCGCAACGGTCGAATATTTATAATGCCGAAATTTCGAAGGAGTATTTAACCAAAAAGTTGACTAAAACTTGTTTGACAATAAAAATAAAACTGAACGAAGGGTTGATTAAAGGTTTTAATCGAAAAATTTCAACATCAATTTAAGGAATCGATTGGCAGAATGGAAACAGTAGGAGAAAAGTCGACGGAAAGACTACCGGGGAAAAAAGTCGATCAGAATGATGAAATGAAAAATCGGTGGAAGAAATCAACAAGAAATATTAATAAGTTGCAAAAACCAATCGGAAGATGGGCTAAAACAGTAATAGATAGTTAAAATGTGTGAATCAATGAGCAAAAAGCAATACATCGACAAGAAGAACTGACTAATATATGTTTGTAAGGAATTATAAAGAAAACAGAGTAAAGAATTAAGAACCAATCTGAAGACTGATCTAAAAAACAGGATTAACAATAAGTATGTAAGGGTTAAGAAAACTGTCTGAATGCACTGATCACGAGAACAACAAACAGGAGGGGTTAGTCGGGGAAAATGATAATGAAAAGATAAACCGAACATTCCGCACATCGACATACTTCCCTGCAAATAAACTGCCATATCTTATCGCTTCCAAACATTTGCTGGTAATCATGACATTGATGCAAAAGTTATTCAGGACAAATGGTTGGGACAGAAAATTTCAATTCGTCCTCTCAATTCACTATCCACTCGCACGTGATGAAATGATCGATTTTCGTGTCGAATTCGCCTACATTGAAGAGTCTTTTATTTTAAACTTAACTTCTACGTGTTTTGCGCAGTTTGCGCCACGTGAGGCAACAAAGCGCCGTTTAGAAGCATAGACAAACTGACGAGTGGTATTCAAGCAGCCGGATTTCCCGCGGGCCACAATCCTAATTTAATGATGCCATCATGGGATTTAACCCGTTAAAAGTTCTCCCTTTCCATGGATGCGTTTACGGAGAGTCATGGACATTTGTCTGAATGTTACACGTTTCGGGAATAGACTATACCAAATGCTTGTGAATATCACGTCAGGGATCATATAAGTTTATGTACGATAGAGATGTGTCGAATGGTGCCACATGTGGGAAATCCGGACAAATACCACGAAGGTAATAATTTCCCAAGTGTTATAGTTTGATGCAGTTATGGTTATAAGTGAGCATTTCATCATCTGAATATGTTTATAATTATAGAACGCATTTGGGCATAAGATTTGTTAGCTATGCATTTTTTTCTTCTGATGTGGAAATTATTTGTAGCTTGATTGCAAAGGTTATCGTGATATTATACTCGTAAGTAAGCTTTTATAACTTGATCATAACTAATATTTGCAATATTTGTGATCATATGGATGCCATTGTGGCATTAATTAAAGTAGATGTTTTTGATGTTGGTATAAAGTGATTATGACAGTACTATGGGAAACGTCTGTAAATTGACAATATGAAAGCATCTCTGATGTCAATTAAGTAGGCTGTGCTACCCAGTATACTGTTTTTCAAAATTTCTTAATTATCATGTTATCCGGAAATTATTTTCACTCTCTCTGTGGATGATTATGTGCTAAAAATGAAACAATACACTTATGTGTATCATATAAAATGAATAGTAAATAAAAAAAGGGAATAACACGTAAAGTTGACCAGCGTAATTGTAGGTTATAAAGGCTCGGTAAAATATTGAATATTTACAGGTATCCGGTAAATAATGAGTGATGATGGTAGCAGGATGAGCTCGAAATTTGAAAAAGAAACGGAAGATTTGGAAGTGGCACTGATGACAGATTCAAATTCGGATGAGAAGAAGTGTGTCTTTTATAGATTATTTTAGTTAAACAAATCTGTACAATTTTTTTGAAGCATTATGGTAGTTAGCGCAGTACTGCGAGCCACACTATGGCTGGCACACTGATAAGTGTTTCAGTGTGATTTGAGGGCACAGTAAATTGCTCAGGAAGAAATGACGCTATGAGTTAATAAGGATGTGTAGTGAAACATAAAATCAGCATGAAAGTATATGATGACTTCACAAAAGCAATTTGTTTCTGATATCAAAAGACCTCATTTGCAATTTAATCTCATAGAGAATATGTTTATTTGATTTTCCATTAAGAACATCCATAGATGGATATAATATATATTGACAGTTGAGGGATTTCTAAAAAAAAATATGAAGTAAGTATAATTTAATTTGGCTACTCGCTAGCATGGGTAGCAGATGGATTGCATTATTTTTCCCAACCTTACAATTTAAATAGCTTCAAAGAATGAATGTCCCTACGCTTCAGCTTGTGTGCAAGCTGCTATATGTTTTGTAGCAGCTTTGCACACAAGCTGAAATTAAAACGAAAAATATTAAGTTTCAGATTTTGTAGAAATTTGATTGTTAAATGGTATGCTCAACCGAAGATATTTACCTTGGAATAATTAAGTTGCGACGGGAAAAATACCTTACAATTTTAGCTCGATTACTTGCATGCTACTGCAATGATTGCTTGGCAAAGAAAATTATAACATTCAATTTTACTGGAATAAATAATTTACAGATGCGTATATGGTGGATTTACGAATGAAGCTTATGAGGAGTTGGTGCGTTACCATCGTAGCAAAGAAATTCCTAAACGTCTTCAGGGTCATCTGAAACATCGAATTGACTGTTTCAAGAGGAAAGCCAAAAGATTTCAACTAATTGAGGGAACTGATCAGCTGATTTATATTGGTAAACGGATATTCATTTGTCATTCAGTGGATTTTTTTGTTTAGACACGGAAGACAGAAGAGAGAAAAATCATTCTACAATTTTTTGTTAGCGTAAGAAAGGTTTATTCCGGAATTTTCTCAGGGATTTCATCTGTTAAAGGATGTTTTTTGCATTAAATTGCATTTTCCCTTGAATTATGATATTGGCTCCAAATAATAAACTCTGCCTCACTGTTGCTGGATTTAGCAGCGCTTCAAGTTGTTGAAGATTAAAATCGAGAAATTCTTCACTCAGACATGTAATTTTTGTTGTAACTCAACTTACCTTCCTCCATTTGCCATAAAAAATTACGAGGAAAAAAATGGTAAATGTAATAAGGTAGTTCATTTTTTAAATCAAATTTTATTGTGAATTTAGGATTCAAACCAGATCACTCAACGGTGGGACAGTTTGTTGTGAAAAAAAATGAAGTTGAAAAAATCCTTACTCAGGCATGTGATTTTATTTTATTGCGAAATATCGAATAATTTTTTTTCCGTGAATAAGAAAGAATAGTTGTGAAACTTTACACTAAAGTTTAGTTAGTTATAAAAAGAAAATGAATGATTTTATGAGAAAGCAAAAATGAATGTTGTTTTGAGAGAATCTATCGACACATAGCATCTGCTGATGTTTTATCGCAGGATAGATGTATACTGGAATTTCTATTTTTAGGCTCATTTGGAATCAAATCACGGTGGTTTAAATGCTACACGTAAAATGGTTTCAACAAAATTTTATTGGAACTCAATTACAAGCGATGTTGAGCAGTTCATCAAGCAATGTCCACGTTGTCGTATTACACGTATGCGATACGTTGCATCCAATAATGTTCCTTGGCGTAAAGGTGGGCGATATGGGGATATTTACACAGTATGTTATAACTTTGATTCTTTAAGATTTTGCACCATTCATTTGATATTTTTCATTGAATTTTCTCTATTAAGTTGCACATCTGTTACTCATTAGAGAAGATTCACCAGAGAAAGTTTTTATCAATATTACTAATGTTGAACAACCGTATTTTTATGAATATATATAGCGTTCCTTGATATTGATATGGTAATTATTCCCAGTTTTAGAGGTCTGTAATTTACACAAATTTCCAGGGTAATTGGGATGGAAGCGAAGATGATTATGCACTTTCTGGTAAGAGCAATTTCTATCCACTTCATTTTTCTATTCGTTATAAAAGGAAAAAAGCAAGATTAAAAATTTTGCATATCATCATTATAATCTCGAATACGAATTTTAACTTACGATTGTATGAGACTTTTTGTTTTCAGAAATCGCCAATTTTTCATATGTAGTAGTGCAAGTTATTAGAGAATTTTTTTTTTAGATCGTTCTTACAGTCGAACTTGGAAATTTACTCGAAATCTGAATGGAAGCGAATATGCCAAGTACTCGCCGGATAACGTACTTCCTCAGCATTGGAAGGTTAATTACATATTTTGCAATATAGCCTTTAAATTTGTGGGTAATTTCGTCGTTGCAGAGACTTGATATTTTCGTTCGAAGTTTGAAATTTTATCATATGTTATATGAATAAAGTTTGCAGCATGATAGATCTACAAATGACGTTATGGTTACGGATGAAATGACAAATGAAGATATCGATATCGAGAATGATGCTGATGAACTGGGTAAAAAGATTCTAAGATTATCTGTAATTAATGGTACAGCATGACCGAGCTTAATCTCTTAACCGATTAAGCGGTAAAATGTAACGCACTTTCTACGAGAGTTTTTTCGTCGGGATTGGAGATTTTATAATTAATAATTCATTAAACTAGCTGATGAAACAGAACTTCCTGTGCAGTGCTTCTTGATTCTCTAAATTTTATATATATGAAGTTTGTTTGTAGTAACAAAGAACTCAAAAGTGAGTAACTGTTAGACATCTTTCAATTTATTTCAGGTGCTTCTGAAGGAAGAATAGATACACAGATGTTATTGCCTCAGTACTTTCGTGTCAGGCCTGTTCAACCGCTCACTAATAGATCACATTTCGCAGAGTGGATGGAAAAGGAGCAAGTAAGTTTGTTTTATGATTATCTGGCTCGTGTATATTTGGATTCCAAAATTCGGGCATTTAATTCAGTACTTTGTTTATATGTACCGTGTTGTGCAGACTTGTCTTTCGAGTGTTGTATGAGATGCGGGATCATCTGCAAATTATATAAGCCACCGTATTTATTAGCAGTTCTGACTATATTTGCTTTGTGTCCAAAAAGGAATATGCGTAGTTCATCAGTTTTCATTTTGTTGTACTTTGGTTTTAGTTTTTTGGGCTTTTTTAATTTCTTCTACTTTCTTACAAATGCAGTTCATCTCCTTTCACCAGTGTCGCTTTTTAATGTGTGGATTAATATTTTTGTTATAGTCTTTTGCAAATTTTCACTCTCGCAAGAATTTTGCTAAATTTAATATTCTAGGTACTAGACTATGATGAATCTTACGGTAATCCAGAGGATGCGTATTATGAAGATGATTTTATTGTTGGCGAAAGTATGGCGAACATTGCGCCAGCAACAACTGGTGATGAAAGATTAGTTTCAGAAGATAGTTTGGATGGCGGCATTGATAGGTAACAAATGTTTCACTTTAGTTACTTCATGTGGAATAGTTTTTTGTGCGATCTATAGTAGTTGTTGAAGTGAAGAATTTACAAATTCTGTTCGGATTTTTTCTCTATATTGCATTATCGGTGAATAAAGCATTTAAAAAAAATGTTCAATCCTGATAACAGCAAATTTTAAGCATTTTTTAACCAGTTGTTTCTTCTGAGGTGATAGGATGAATATCATATCAGTGAATTTCCTATTTTTATTAACTTAAAGGCTTCAAGTATATGAAACAAATAGATGCATCTATATTTTATAATTCCAACAACTAACTGCTAAAAGATTAAGGCTGGATTCTCTTTTCCTTCATTATCGGTCAAACATGTTATAGTATTTGTTTGTGTGTCTCAGTCCTTTTTTCTCTGAATTAATGGTTACCTCATAAAATTTAGAGTGTTCGTGTCTTGAGGTTAATTTAAATTTAAATTGAATCTTTCCTCTTTTTGAGGCCAAATCCTACAAAAGCTACCATGTGCAAAGAAAAATTAGTCGAAAATGCTCCAGTTAAGCGACGGTACGTGGAAGACGGTCAAGAGTACATCATTGAAACAGACAGAAAATATTTTATGGTTGAAGCAGAGCAACTTCTGCAGCTTTTCAAAAGGTTTATTTTTTTTAATCTACAATGGTCGCAAGTTTCTTATTTGGAAACTCGTTATATTGGATCCTTTTTTCCTTTATACTACTGTGCTTTCTTTGCTTTTTTTTATAATTTTCGGAAAATAATGATTGCAGATGTTCTGGATGCGGTGAAAAATTGAAACAGGTGACATTGTACGCTGATTCACCTTTGCCAACAGTTGCTTATCAGTGTAGTAAATGTGAGCAAACTGTATGGTTTGGACAGAAAGTGGACTAGCTTACTAATATGGAAATTCTGGAAATCTAATTTCAAAGTGTTTCATTTGCTTCAACTAATTGAAATTAAGAAGAGCATGGGAAAAGATAAGCTTAAAGCCTAAAAGTTAATTACAAAACAAATATACTTATACAGTGAAAGATAGCGTGCAAAAAATTTTTCGATATCCTAATTTAAAGGATCTAAAGACCCAAGTCTAATTTCGACAATTTGCCTGTCATCTCATTATTTTTTATTTTTTTTACTTTATTTTATTAGAGAATGGAAGGGAGGATTTTTTCCAGTTGATATTATTGCAATTTTGCAGTTGGTATTGCAGTTTTCCAGTTGGTATTATTGCGTGTTTTATACTGCATCAATGTTCATATTGCTTGTGATTCTAAAATATTGTGTTGTCATTGTTGTATAGTCACACATACCATCAATAAAATTATTCATTTATTTTTTGAAACGCTCCTTGAATTTAGGTTCAAATTAAACCTGCATTGAATGAGTTTTTGAATAAAAATCCGTGAAATGTAACTTAGAAGCAAGAAGAAAACGAGGTATAAACTTTTTATAACAAAAAAATGAAGTTGTAAAATATAGTAAACAAACAAGCGTTTGGAAGAAATACCTGACAAGTGGTTCGTGAATAATACATCTATCTATGGTTTAGCTCCCGCGATTTGCATTTAAGATATCAAAGCTTACAATTCTTCCGTGGTTTCTGTTACTTTGCGCAGAAGTTATTCGCGAATATCGATATTTGAATACTGTCATGTCAAAACTTTTGTTAATTTTCGAAATTTTCACAGAAATGGAAATGAAAAGTACATACCCAACACAAAGGATAAGTGTAGATGCGCAACATGCAGTTCCGCAAACATCGCAACGAATGGTAATGGGTGGTATGCAGCAGGAGTGTACAGATGGCATGGAGGAACAGAAAGCATGTTTGGCAGCACAGGATACAAATCAAGCGTTTTCTAGTGCTACTGTTGCTGAGTGTCAAGCAGTTTGTTCAAAGTCAACAGAAGCGAATGTATCAAATCAAGCAGATGGCGAAGGGTTAAACGTTCAGGATTCCCAAGAACCTGGGACAACATGGCAAGATGATGAGCATGAATATGAAGCACAGATGAATTTGCTCAAGTATGATGTGAACTTTTTTTTGAATTAAAATTATAAATGAAAGTTTCAGATTTGTGTTATTTTCAGTGATTATCGGAAGCTTAATGATCGTTAAAGATTGAGAGTGTTAATTTTTTTCCTTGTTTATCTCACTTAAAATTGATTAAATTGAAATCGTAAATTGGATGATTGAACCATAAAATAGGTTACGTCAAATGATCAGATAATACTGTGGTAATTTTGCGAATTTTTTATTCAAACGTCTCTCAAATATTTTAAATCAGGACATCACAGTATTTTAGTGAGGAATGGAGAAAGCCTGAAGTGGACGAAATTATGACAAAATTGCTCAAAGGCGAATTATCATTCGCAGAAGCAGCAGGTCGGATATCGATTATTCTGGGACGTGAGGTAACGGTAGCGTCGGTACGGAATCGTGCCTTACGCTGTTCCGATTTACCACATTCGGGACAGTCAAATATTCGAAAAGAGCGTGAAGAGGGCGGCGAAAATAGAGAAAATACCTTGGAAAAACATCCAGTCGCTGCAAAGAAGTTAGTTTTGGGGTTAATTATTGCATTTAAAATTTGGAAAATTACTTTTTACAATTTTCTGCATCGTAGATTCTGTTTACTCACATTTAAGCAGAAATTTGCCCGACGAAAGGAATAATATTTATAGTGACGAAAGGAATAATATTTTGATCGTATCAAAATCTGAGTAGTGTGATCCAGGAAAATTAGAGATAATATTTGTTTCATGTCAGCAGATTGGTCAAATGCAATAAGATATATTGAAGTGTTGTTATTGAAATGAAACTGTTTAATCTCAAAATTGTTCTTCTATTATTATTGAAATTATATCATTTCCAAATGTGTTTTTTCAAAAATACACTACATGTTTCTTTACGATTCATTTTCAGGATTTTATTTCTCATATTTTGTCAGGATATCGAACACTTTAGTTTTTGAAGTTTTTATTATTTTTGTATGATAAACTAATGAATTAATTATGTGCAGGTTTGGACCAGAATTTTACGAAGTGATACGAAATTTGCGCGGAAATTTGAACAGCATAGCGATCAAGGAGCCACATAGTAATTATGTAAGGATTTATCGTCGATCAACGACACGTCATTATTACAGTTATTACCGTTGCTCAACATGTGACCACATACGACGTGAGGTTCAAGATTGTCATCCATCACCAATCATCAAGATGGTCCATGATAATATCGTTGGTGAACCGTTTCCATCACATCATCCTGAATGTAAACCGATATCTCCTTCACAGCTAAGAGCTATGCAGATAGATCGAGAAAATCGTCAGGAAGTGATCAACGAAATGATGACTCCTTTTGAAGCTTGGTCAAAGGTAAAATAAGTTTTTCTTTTAAAATAACTTGCTAAGGTTTGAGTCGAAGTTCATGAAATTGTTGAATTTATTTTGAAAACTTTTAGGCGGCATAATTCAGGTTGCGATATATCTGACTTCATGCAAGAAGTTTTACTGCGCTTCCAAAGTTCTTATTTAAGGTTTCAATTCCAAATCTGCAAATCCTCTGCTTTAATTTATAAGGAATATAAATTATTTATAAAATCATTCGGCCAATGCATCATGGATTCTCCACTTTGTTGTGGTGAACTTTTTGGTAAAATAAACTGTTGAATTCTTTTTGAGGGCGACTTAAGAGCTTTACTGGAGGAGGCAAGGAGGGTTTCACAACTTGCCAGACAGCGTCCACAGTGGAAAAAAGTCAAGTGCAAGTCACGAAATGAAAATGTAAGTTTAATTTTTCTTTCGAACTTTCATTATCTTTTTGTTTTATTTTTATATCCAGCTCAATTGATTTCACATGTAAAATGCGTGATTTTAAGATCATTTCAGGAGAGGTGTCCATATGCAAGGCCATACGGAGAAACATTAGTGAGTTACGAAGGTTGGTAACAATTTATATTGCTGCACTTTGGAAATAAATTTTCATTTACTTTTTCAATTATGAAAATCAATTCTAACTTCTTTTGAAGTTCATTAGAAAATTAGTTGAATCAATTGATCAATTAATTTCAGAAAAAATACGAAAAAAGTTGAGTGAGCAGATAAAACGTCCAGATTCTCGTTCTAGTTCAGCAATTTCAGAACGATTTGGCGCTCAAGTGTGTTATTCTCGTTTTTATTTACTTCATTCATTCTGAACATCCTGGAAATTTTTCATTAGATAAAAATGAACAGTTTGAATTTAGTAATTATGTGTGACACATTACTTAAAAAGCTTTAGATTTTTTCTTTGTTTCTGATTATTTGCATTCTTTTCTCTCTTATTCAGTTATTCAGCTTTTTTGGAAATTGAACAAATTCAAATACTTCTAAGTTTGAAATAGATTTTAAGCATTTTCTTGACGGGAGGATATGAAACACTGAACAAATGAGGTTTATTTGGCCATGATAAAAGAACTATATTTTGAAAAATATTTGAAAGAGCGATATTGACAGTGCACTATAGATTTATATGTATGTTATGAACTGCTTTTCATTTTTCCTGATATCAGAGGGTAATTTTTATCTTTAGATACGATCACCAACAGGCGATGAATGGTCATTTGCACGACAGGGGCAAAATGACCGTTCTTTTGTGACGGATGACTCACAATCTCGTACGTGTAAAGAATTTTTTCTTTACTTTATTATATCGGGTAGATTTTTGTTTTTCTCCTCTATAGTTAATAGTTTTTCTTTTAGTTATATCGGAAGTGACAGACGCAGACAGGTTGTTATCGGAAGAAAAAGTACACATTGAACAGTCAAAAATCTCAGCAGAAGGTACTCCAGAACTGGTAAATCGGTTACTTCCTCTTATTTCATTTAATTTTTATAAGTTTTATGTTAATTAACATTTGGTTTTCGGAAATTTGTGAATAGAGTTTTTGGCTCAAGTATTGTTTGCTGCTGCTTTTAAAATTAGTTTTTGAATGAGCAACTTGACCAAAATTAATTGATGATCTTTTATTGGGATTTCAATACTAATTATAACTTAAATTCCCGAAGCTTTTACTTAACTTAAACGTGCTTAATTACTTTTTTTTTCAAGAATATAACTGGAAAATTCTCGTTTGCTTCAAGAGATTCAGGCGAACCAGTTAATGATTTTGGTGGTACGAATCAAATAATATTGGGTGATCGCACATCAACTAGTGAAACTGGAGCAGAATCTGGCACTACTGTTACCTCCGCGGGGTGTGTTTGAAATTTTTGCTGACATTGTTTTGTTTAACCACACTAATTTGCACATGTCGAAATTGCAATCAGATTGCGATTGATTTTCTACGTATGTGGTGAGTGGCGTATTATTTGTTATTGTACATTATTTGTGAATATCTCATTGCCAGGAATGGCTGAACTGAAATTACGATTTTGTCAATTTCAGAATGCCGAAGGCATGCTCAGCGAAGGATCGTTCGAATAAAGTCACTATGTCAACAGATGATGGTAAACAAGATATAATCAGGGAAACTAATCGAAAAATGTTTATGGTTGATGACGAGCACTTGTTGAAATTGTTTCGAAGGTTCGTTTTTTTGTTATGCTTTCATTTATATATATCCTAAAGTTTAAACAGCGAGTATGGAAGAAGAATCTTAGAATTCTGACCGAAGGTTTCAGGTTAGATTTGTTTATCAAATTTTGTCTGTAGCAGAGTATGAATTTGTTTAATTTCATTTCTTATAAAATTTTTGTTTTCAGATGTCCAGATTGTGGCGAGCAACTAAAAACTTTAGCGCTTTCATCACGAAAAGCAATACCAATGGTGAAATACAAATGTCAGGGTAGTTGTGAAGAAAAATTATGGTTCGGTCATGAACCCAAACAGTAGAATATTGTCAAGGTGTTTGCACAAATTGTTAAGTCAAGATATTCATGAGAAATAACACAAGATATTAGATTTTTTCGTACAGTTTCATGTTCAGCTCCGGTTTTTTTTTATGATGTGGGAAGTGCTCAGAAAGTATTTGAAGGTTCATATGAACTATCTTTCCAGCTGCCATGTTTTTTATTTTAACCATAATAATGATTGGTAGTTGCTACTCTTGATAACTTCCTGTTAAGAACTCTATTAGTTGTTTTTTTAAGAACTTCACATTTTCAGTTGTAAAACCGATATATTTAATCTAGCTTTACGGTTTAACTGAATAATATAAAGCTGAATTTATGTAGAAGGAAAATGTTGTAAAGCTATGAAGCCGTTACGATACTGCGATACTGTTTTTCTGAACACTATAATATTTGTAATTAAATCATTCAAATTTTGATTCCAAGATGTTGTTGTATTCCTCCTGTCTTTTATAATTTGCTGGAAGCTTCAAATTAATTAAATCAATGTATATATACATA